TCAGTTGCCGGTCGGACTGCAAAGGTAAGGAGGCGAACGCGAAAAAACGCGTGTATAGCCCCCCAAGTCCGAGCGGCTATGACGGTCGGTCAGTTGCCGGTCGGACTGCAAAGGTAAGGAGGCAAACGCGAAAAAACGCGTGTATAGCCCCCCGAGTCCGAGCGGCTTTGACGGTCGGTCAGTTGCCGGTCGGACTGCAAAGGTAAGGAGGCGAACGCGAAAAAACGCGTGTATAGCCCCCCGAGTCCGAGCGGCTATGACGGTCGGTCAGTTGCCGGTCGGACTGCAAAGGTAATGAGGCAAACGTGAAAAAATGCGTGTATAGCCCCCCGAGTCCGAGCGACTATGTCGGTCGGTCACTTGCCGGTCGGACTGCAAAGGTAAGGAGGCAAACGCGAAAAAACGCGTGTATAGCCCCTCGAATCCGAGCAGCTATGACGGTCGGTCACTTGCCGGTCGGACTGCAAAGGTAAGGAGGCGAACGCGAAAAAACGCGTGTATAGCCCCCCGAGTCCGAGCAGCTATGACGGTCGGTCAGTTGCCGGTCGGACTGCAAAGGTAAGGAGGCAAACGCGAAAAAACGCGTGTATAGCCCCCCGAGTCCGAGCGGCTATGACGGTCGGTCAGTTGCCGGTCGGACTGCAAAGGTATGGAGGCAAACGCGAAAAAACGCGTGTATAGCCCCCCGAGTCCGAGCGACTATGACGGTCGGTCAGTTGCCGGTCGGACTGCAAAGGTAAGGAGGCGAACGCGAAAAAACGCGTGTATAGCCCCCCGAGTCCGAGCGGCTATGACGGTCGGTCACTTTCCGGTCGGACTGCAAATGTAAGGAGGCAAACGCGAAAAAACGCGTGTATAGCCCCCCGAGTCCGAGCGGCTATGACGGTCGGTCACTTACCGGTCGGACTGCAAAGGTAAGGAGGCAAACGCGAAAAAACGCGTGTATAGCCCCCCGAGTCCGAGCGGCTATGACGGTCGGTCAGTTGCCGGTCGGACTGCAAAGGTAAGGAGGCAAACGCGAGAAAACGCGTGTATAGCCCCCCGAGTCCGAGCGGCTATGACGGTCGGTCAATTGCCGGTCGGACTGCAAAGGTAAGGAGGCGAACGCGAAAAAACGCGTGTATAGCCCCCCGAGTCCGAGCGGCTATGACGGTCGGTCAGTTGCCAGTCGGACTACAAAGTTTATCGACATTATGGTCGTTTAGGCAACAAAGGCCGGAAGTTTAAGCGACATTGTGGTCGTTTGGGCAACAAAGGCCGGAAGTTTAAGCGACATTGTGGTCGTTTGGGCAACAAAGGCCGGAAGTTTAAGCGACATTGTGGTCGTTTGGGCAACAAAGGCCGGAAGTTTAAGCGACATTGTGGTCGTTTGGGCAACAAAGGCCGGAAGTTTAAGCGACATTGTGGTCGTTTGGGCAACAAAGGCCGGAAGTTTAAGCCGGTTCCGGCTGCAGGATGTTGGCGAGATTCTTGTTTGTTGGTGGAAGGACGATTTTCATTGCAGACATCTAAGTAATGACGTTACAACATTCGAGCCAACTCATGTGGTCTCGGGAAGAAAAGTACAATACAACAGGTTCAAACGGGAAATGAAAGAAACAGGAAATTACAGCTCCACCTATGACATTCTATTGACGGAACATCACCAAATTCTTTGAGTTCCACGTCCGGTCGACCGGTCTACCGGTTGTCGTTTCGAGCTTGTAGGTACCCGGGCGTATTACTGCTGACACCACATACGGGCCTTCCCAGTTCTGCGCCAATTTCCCTCCTTCTTGAGGTTGGCTGGCTTCGCGTCTTCTCAGTACGTAGTCCCCGACTTGGAAGTAGCGCGGACGTACCCGGACGTCTCGAGTGGCTTTGATCCTTTTTTGGTAGTCGGCGATTCTCTGGGCCGCTAGGTCTCTTCTTTCTTCGATACAGTCTAGATCTAAGGATCGGGCTGCATCGTTTTCTCCTTCGACGTATCTACTCTCCCTCGGGCTCGCAATCCATGCTTCAACAGGTAGGCGTGCTTCGGCCCCATAGACTAAAGCGAAGGGCGTTTCGCCGGTCGCCTCTCTTGGGGTGGTGCGGTATGTCCACAGGACAAACGGGAGCTCATCCGCCCATGACCGGCCGGCTCAGTGCAGTTTTTTCTTTAGACCCTCTAAGATCGTCCGATTAGCATTTTCCACTTGGCCGTTCCCCTGGGGGTATGCTACGGACGACCGGATGGATTTTGTGCCGATCGTTGCTAGGAAGTTTTTGAAGTGTTGGCCCTCGAACTGTCTTCCATTATCTATAACAATCTGCACCGGTACCCCGAACCTTGAAACCACGTTTCGCTATATGAAACAGGCACACTGTTGTGACGTGACCGTTGCGAGGGGTTCCGCTTCCACCCACTTGGAAAAATAATCTATCACAACTATTATGAATTTTCGTCGCCCCGACAATTGGGGAAACGGTCCAACGATGTCTACCCCCCACCGCGCGAAGGGGATGGCTGTGCTGACCGGGTGGTAGAAGGTAGCCGGTCGTCCAGGCATCCTTGCAAATATTTGACAGGTCTCACACTCGCTTCAAAGGCGGATAGACATCTCATAAGCGGGCCCGCGTACGACCGTCTGTACAGCCGACCTTCCTGTATCTGGAACCTTGGTGCTCGAAGCTTGGCTTTTCGGGCTCTCGCCTCATCATCCGGGAGTCGACCGTCTTCCAAGTATCCCATTATATCGGTTATCCAATTTTCTTCGACCGGTTGAATCGGCAAGACTTGTCGGTGGTCGATATAAGGATACGGTACGACGAGGACCCGGGCTACTCGAGAGATATGCTCGGGTGCTTCCACGCTCAACTTCGAGAGGATGTCAGCGTCAGCGTTGTCCATCCGGGGAACATGTTGAACTGCATACGTCCTGAAAGTGGTTAGACGTTCGATCGCTAGATCTCGGTAGCGTCCTAGTCGTTCGCCATTGACTTCAAAGTCTCCCAAAACTTGCCCGACTACCAGTGACGAGTCTGTTCGAGCCCTTACGCTTTCTGCTCCGAGGTCCCTTGCAAACTGCAATCCTGCGACGAAGGCCTCATATTCTGCCTCGTTGTTTGTGGGAGAGAACTGGTAGATCAGAGCGTATTAGACCTTGAATCCTTCAGGGCTCGTGATGACAACACCTCCTTCGGAGCCTTTCCAACTGCTTGATCCGTCGGTGGCGACTTCCCACCATGAAACATCTTGAACCTGCTGATCTGCGGTTGGGGTTTCCCTGGCTGTACATTCGACGACGAAGTCTGCTAGCGCTTGTCCCTTGATAGCCGGTCAAGGCTTGTACTCAATGGCAAACTGTGTTAACATCATGGCCCATTTTACAAGGCGGCCGGAGGAAGAAGCCGTGCGAAGGACGGCTCCGATCGGTTGGTCGGTTAGCACTCGGATGACTCTGCCCTGAAAATAGGGGGTGAGTTTCTTTGCAGTCGTGTAGAGGGCGAGTACCATCTTTTCGAAGCGGGAGTATCTGAGTTCCGGGCCTTGGAGGGCGTGGCTGACATAATATACCGATCGTTGTACACCGTCGGAATCCGTGCGGCATAGCGCAGCGCTCACAGCTCGGTCAGAGGCAGCCAGGTAGAGGTCAAGGTCTTCGCCCGGTTCGGGCTTGGAAAGGACGATCGGAGATATTAAGTATTCCTTCAATTCCTTGAATGCCGCCTGGCACTCCTCATCCCACACAAATCCATTGACCTTTCTTAGTGTCTTGAAGAAGGGTAAAGCCTTTTCCGCTAGCTTGGATAGGAATCGACTGAGAGCGGCCAGTCTTCCGGTTAGTTGCTGGACTTCCCGGACTGTGGTGGGCGGTTGCATATCCAATATAGCTTTTACCTTAACCGGGTTGGGTTCGATTCCCTTCTTCGTCATCATGAATCCCAAAAACTTCCCGGTCTGGACGGCAAACGTGCATTTTGCCGGGTTTAGACGCAACCGGTAGGTGCGCATTACCTCGAAACATGCTCGAAGATCCCGGGCGTGGTCCATCCGGTCTTTACTTTTGACGAGCATGTCGTCCACATACGCTTCCATCGTTCGACCGAGCTGTCCTTCGAATAAGGCGTTGATCATCCTCTGATACGTGGCCCCGGCATTCCGTAGTCCGAACGGCATGACTCTATAACAGAAGAGTCCGTCCGGAGTCACGAAGGACGTTTTGGCTTCATCTTCCTCGGCCATCAAAATCTGATGGTACCCTCTAAATGCGTCCATGAAGCTCATGAGGTCCGCCCCAGCCGTGTCATCGACCATTTGGTGTATGCTCGGTAGGGGGTATGGTTCCAACGGGCATGCCTTGTTCAGGTCTGTGTAGTCGATGCACATCCGCCATGTTGGTGGTTTGGGCACTAAAACAACATTGGCGACCCAATCGAGATAAACGACCAGGCGGAGGTGGCCGATCTCGGTGAGGGTTTTGACTTCACTTCTGACAAACTCCCGGCGGTCATTGGAGAGATGCCTTGTCTTCTGTTTCACCGGTCGTGCTGTCGGACTGACAGCCAATCGGTGGCATATCACTGTCCGGTCCACTCCTGGCATGTCCTCCGGTCCCCATGCAAAGATGTCTGAGAACTCTCTTAGTACGAATAAGACAGCTTCCTTGATCGCCGGGGGGGAGCTGCCGTCCAATGCGGATCGTCCTTTCCGGGCAGTCAGCTTGTATGGGGACCTCTTCGACCTCATCCGACGGTTCCGGCTGTTCCTTCCGTTCAGCTTCCGCTTTCTTGGAGATTGAATTCACTTGGGAATTCCAGGCCTCCTTTCTGTCGATTGCCTTTTGGTAGCACTTCCGGGCTGATCGGACGTCTCCTCGGACGACCCCTACTCCTTCGGGGGTTGGGAATTTCATGCATAAGTGGGGCATGGAGATAATTCCTCCGATCGACACGATCGCAGGTCTCCCTAAGATAGCGTTGTAGACGCATCGAAGGTTGACGATGATGAATTCCATCATGGTTTTTATCGTCCGGGGTCAGTTGCCAATTTCTACCGGCAATGTTATCTTTCCCTCCGGATGGATAGTATCACCAGTGAATCCAGATAATGGGGTCCCGATGGGTGTTAACTCGATCGGTTCTAATTTTAGCTTCTGGAAGACGTCCATGTACAAGACATTCACGCTGCTGCCCGTGTCCACCATGACACGTTGGACGTCGGTCCCCATGATGTCGATCGTGACGACCAATGCTTCAGTGTTGCAGTCCTCTCCCTCCAGCATATCGCTCGGGGTAAACGTGATTGGTTCTAGCTTTTGTCTCTTCTCACTAGGCTCAGATCCTATTAGTCCGATTTGGAATTTCTCCCGGGCATTGGAACTTTCCTCCGGGCCACCGAATATGACGTGGATGACTTGTTTTCCAGTCGACTGTCGGGGCTCGGTGTCCCGGTCGTGATCTTTGTCTTTTTTGTTCTTATTTGATTTCTTGAACGGGTTTTTCCAAGACGATTTTTTCTCGTCCTTCTTGTTGGTGAACTCAGTGAGCTTTCCCGATCGTAACAACTCCTCTATGACTTGCCTGAGGGTCGTGCAGTCTTCCGTTTCGTGCCCTTTGCTGCGATGGTACGCGCAATACTTTGTCTTGTCGCGACCCTCGCGCTGTGGTTCCGGCAACTGGATCATGTTGCAAGATTGGGAAAATCGAAGGACGTCGACTGCCGGTCTGTTCAAGGGGGTAAAGTCGGGTGCTCTTCCTCGCCCTCGGCCGGATCTGTCGTTCGTCTTCCCCTCCTCTTGTCGGCCCTGCGGTTTTCGGCTGCTGTCGGCCTCTTGTTGGCGCTTGGCGAAATTGGCTTCACCAGCATTAGCATAGTCAGTTACCCTTCGGATTGCCTCATCGTAGGTAGCCGGAGGGTGTAGGATGAATTCTTGGTATAGGGCCCCGGCACGTGGTGAGCTGTCGTAGGCTTCCAAATTAAAACCTTACAAACGTAGTAGCGGGAGTAAGGATCGATCCCACGAGGAGTAACTAGTTTAACTTTTGTGCTCAAATTAAAGGTAGGGGGGTTTGGAATATATCGAGAATAAAGATAAAATAAAAGAGAATTTAAATAAACAAGAAATTTAATTGAACGAATAAAGCAATGAAAATAATTTATCGAAAACACTTATAATAGGAGACCTTGGTTAGTAAAGATCCACCACCGGAGTTTAACACTGATCATTGATTTATAAAGTAATTAATATGCAGTTGAATATTTGTCGTGAAATTATTTCATTTCCGTTTTTCCTTAGTTGTAGGTAACTAAAGCACACGCGGTTTAATTACCCCTAACTACTAAATAACCTAAGACAAGCGCTATAGATTTAATTTAATAGCAGCAATAGGAACTAGGAAAACCGACAAACTAAATAACACAAGCACAAGCGGTTGCATTTAATTTAGGAAAATATTCTACCCGAGTCCAATTATCACTAAGCCGTCAATAATTAACCCAGTTGCTACTGAATATTAGAGTAATTTGTAGCACAACATTATCTAATATAGCAAATAATTATATCAAATAAATAACTAGTAGGCCTCCCTAGCAATTAAATGATACAACTATTCAAATAACTTAGAAGAATATTCAATACCCAAATGCATAAAAATTATATAATAAAAATAAGTAAATAATCTTACAACATAATCAATTCCGGGGCTTCAATTCACTAAACCAAGCTAAAGAAATTAGCAATGAATGGACATTGATAACAGCTTTATAGAATAATCGAGAGGGAAGAATGAACGTTTTACAATAGAAAAACTTCTACTATTTATATACTTCCTAAATTAACTAAAGCTATTTTGTACCACTCATTTCTATTGTTTCTTCCGCGAATGCCGCTCAGCACCAGAATCGGTCGATGAAGATTTCTGCTTCCGCGTCATACGTTCTGTAGTTAAGAAATTAAAACACAAATCTTTAATTAGCTTTGTTTTCTTGCTAAGAGTTTGGTCCACACTAAATTACTAATGCATAAATTATATTAAATAAAAAGAAAAAGTTTGTTGGACTAAAAAACATTATTAACTAAATATTATTATAAAACACTTATTTAACTAGTTAATTATTAAATTCTAAAAAGATAAAATTATTATATAATAGTAAATAAATAATGCAAAAATATTATAAAGATGTACATAAAATAAGAGTGTAAAATATGCCTATCAAATTCCCCCACACTAAAACATTTGCTTGTCCCCAAGCAAAAATATTATTTACGAAGTAAATTGAAATGAAATTCCCAAAACTCACAACATATAATGAACAACAATCTAAAGCACCCTGCAATTAATAAGTTAGCACCCTGTTTGAAAATGGAGAAAACTAAATAAGTAAGCCCTCACAGGAATGTCACTTATCACTCAAGTGTTTGATGGGTATAAATTTCACTCAAGTTCATTCCTATAAAATTGCTCTACCATAGGCTTGCATATCTTCTCAATCACCACTACAAGAGTCATGCATGACACAAATCATAAGGACTTTTCACAGGTTGTAATGGGGCTAGGGTTAAGGTATGAAATATTTAGGGAAGTAGCTCAAATATAACTTTCAAACTAGAGGAGCAAAATATAAGCAAATAATCCAAGATACTTGCTCAACACCCTCAATTTTTCACTCAAAGCATTTCCTATTGAGGCTCCAATATGACTATCATTCTCAAAAGTATAGAATGCTTCCTCAGTATTACCAGAATTTCTCCCTTACTTCGTTTATTTAGAAGTAACTTCAACTCAAAATCAATTGCTGATTCTTTCTCATTTTCTCATAAATTTCCAGCAATATTTTTCTTTTTCAAACATATATTCTCCATTTTTCCATTTTCATTTTTTTTCAATTTTTCAATTTTTCATTTTTTTTTTCATAGAAGACCAACGACATATTGGCAACGAAGATATAACTCACCTCACTCTCAATCATACTAACAAAAGTAAGTGATCTCCCCCACACTAATCTTTCCCAACCTCACGTAGATTAAAAATAATCCAAAATTTGCTCCACTAGTTATTCAGCTGGGTGAAGGCATTATTTTAGATATAAAAGGCTTGTAATGTGGTTCAAAATAAAGAAAGGAATGGCCATAAAGCTCAAAGTGGTTAACAAAGGAAAATAAATCAGAGGACAAACCGGTTATTTGGCTAGTGAAGCTCAAAGTCAAATAATGGCCTTAATCACACTTGAATCATGCATGGTCTAATTAGCTTTAAAAGAGAATCAAGGCAAGTTCTAGATAAACAAAATTATGGAAGAAATCACACAAAAGAAAGAAAATAAGACCGAAGTGTCAGTCAGTGGCTCAAAACACTCACAGGTTTATTGCTTACTTAATATAGCCACTACATATCAAACAAGAGATGCTAACAAACTAATCACAACTTGCCAAACTATTTATTCAACCATGTTATGCATTCCAAGAAAGAAAAAAAAATATTATTTTTCAAAATAATACTTATTTTGCATAAAATATTAATAAAATATATTTTGAAAATTATGAAATAAGAAAACAAATTATAATAAAAATTTGTTTGACATAAGAAAACAAACAATAAAACTAAATTAAGTAAACAAATAATAAAACTAAATCTCCTCCCCCACACTTATTATCAACATTGTCCCCAATATTGAATAAAAACATGCAGAAAAAGGGTTATTGAATAAAATAAAATAAAAATGGAACAAACACACCTTAGGTTGCCTCCCAAGCAGCGCCTTTGTTTATCGTCGTTGGCTCGACTTATGATATTTCTTTAAATTTCCATCGCCTTTTTGAGTACCTTCGATGATTATGAGTATTCAAAGAAACAGCCCCTTCATGCAGATTAGGACTCAAAGATGATTTATTATTTGGTTCTTCTTTATTTTCAATAGAAGCAATTGCATTAAATTTAACAAGTTTTAAAGAATCAACAAAAATTGCAAAATTATCATTACTAGGAGATTTCATGGTATCATATATATTAAAAGTCACAAGTTTACCATTAGACTCCATTGTAAGCATACCATTATGAATATCGATTTTAGTTTTTGCGGTTTTTAAAAATGGTCTTCCTAACAAAATATGAGAAATTTGATTATTATTTTCCATATCAAGGACATAAAAATTAGCAGGAAAAACGAAGTTATTAACTTTAACAAGCAAATCCTCAACCACACCCCTAGGATATGTAGTAGATCCATCAGCCAATTGAATTACTATACTAGATTTATTCAGGGGTCCAAGATTTAAAGAAGCATACACAGGATATGACATAACATTAATAGAAGCTCCTAAATCTAACATAGCATTTTCAAGTTTAACACCACTTATCATGCACGGAATAGTAAACATACCTGGGTCTTTGCACTTTTCAGGAAGATTGTCTTGACTAGCCATAGAGACATTCTCATGCACTTTCATTTCCTCAACTCCGTTATTTCGTTTATTTTTCAAAGTGCATAACTCTTTTAGAAAATTTGCATAGCGAGGTATTTTTTTCATAGAATCTAAAAATGGTTTATTAGCCTCACACTCACGAAATGTTTCATACATATCATTATTCGATTTTCCTCTTATTGGTTCTAAAAGAGCTTGAGGAAATGGGGGTACTGGTTCATAATCAGAAAAAGAAGAAAGCTTACCTTCGGACGTCTCTTTATTATTGACAATGATCCCTGAACTTATTCCCTTGTTTAGATCGACGTTCTTTTCCAGCGACATACTACTCACAGTAATTGCACTTACATTCTCTTTAGGATTAACGATCGTTTGAGAGGGTAATTTGCCAGAACTCTGTGCTTCCAACCGACTTACCGTAGTTGCTAGTTGGCCAACTTGCCTTTCTAAGTTTTGAATACTAGCCTTTGTTTCTTGAATACTAGCCCTTGTCTCCTGTTGGAATAGTTGTGTTTCTTGTTGAAACTGCAAAGTGTTAGTAGCAAGAGATTTAACAATATCTTCTAGATTCATACCTGAGCTAGAGCTTTGGGCTGGTTGGTGGCTGGAAGGGAATTGTTGTCTATACGTTTGAAAGTTGGAACGATTCTGAACAAACTGGTTCCCTTGTGAGTTCCCATAGCTAAAGTTTGGGTGATCCCTCCATCCAGGATTATATGTATTGGAAAATGGATCATACTTACCTTGAGGTTGTCCAGGAAAACCTCCAGCCATGTTGACTTGTTCAATAGGTTCTTCTTGAAGAGTTGGGCAGGCATCAGTTTGGTGCCCAACTACCGAGCAAATTCCACATGCTTTTACAGTTTGCATATTCCCTACTGCTAATTGACGAACAAGAGTAGTTAAACCAGTAATTTGTTGTTCAATAGCAGAAATATTTACCTCATTCACTTGCTTAGACGGTTGGACAAGTCTATTGCCAAACTGTTGAGGATTCGCAGCCATGTTTGCAATTAGAGTTCTTGCGGCGTCTGGTGTCTTGTCAACTAAAGAACCACCGCTTGCGGCATCAATCATGCTTCCATCCATTGGAAAGAGTCCTTCATAAAAGTACTGGATGAGTAATTGATCACTGATTTGATGGTGTGGGCAGCTTGCACATAGTTTCTTGAAACGCTCCCAATATTCATATAGGGACTCTCCATTGTTTTGCCTTATACCACAGATTTCTTTCCTAATGTTGGCCGCCCTTGAAGCTGGGAAATATTTTTCAAGGAATAGTGTCTTTAAGTTATTCCATGTGGTGATGCTTCCGGAGGGTAAATAATATAGCCAATCCTTCGCTGAATCTTTTAAAGAAAATGGGAAGGCTCTCAACTTGATTTGTTCTTCAGTAACCCCTGTGGGTTTCATACTCGAACACACCACATGGAATTCCTTTAAGTGTTTGTGAGGATCTTCACCTGCAAGTCCATGAAAAGAAGGCAAAAGATGAATTAATCCAGATTTTAATTCAAATTGTACATTGGCACCTAGAGCAGGAAACGTGATGCATAAAGGTTGCTGATCTAAATTTGGAGCTCCAAGCTCTTTTAAAGTCCGATTTTGAGTCATGGGTTCCTCTTCTAAATCAGAATTGGTAGAATCGGTACCAGATCATTAAACTCCAATTTCCTCAAAACTTGTTTCCTCCACCTGCGTACAGTTCTTTCAATTTCTGGATTGTATGGCAGGACTTCTTTGTTAGCAGATCGAGTTATGGGCATAAACAAAAAGAAAATATATTGCAGCAATTATGTAAAAGTAACGAAAGAAAAGATTTTTTTTTTAAATTTTTATGGGACAAATTAACGAGAAAAACAGATAAACAAATAAATAATTAAATAAACACAAAATAAACAAGAAAATCTCCCCGGCAACGGCGCCAAAATTTGGTGAGCTGTCGTAGGCTTCCAAATTAAAACCTTACAAACGTAGTAGCGGGAGTAAGGATCGATCCCACGAGGAGTAACTAGTTTAACTTTTGTGCTCAAATTAAAGGTAGGGGGGTTTGGAATATATCGAGAATAAAGATAAAATAAAAGAGAATTTAAATAAACAAGAAATTTAATTGAACGAATAAAGCAATGAAAATAATTTATCGAAAACACTTATAATAGGAGACCTTGGTTAGTAAAGATCCACCACCGGAGTTTAACACTGATCATTGATTTATAAAGTAATTAATATGCAGTTGAATATTTGTCGTGAAATTATTTCATTTCCGTTTTTCCTTAGTTGTAGGTAACTAAAGCACACGCGGTTTAATTACCCCTAACTACTAAATAACCTAAGACAAGCGCTATAGATTTAATTTAATAGCAGCAATAGGAACTAGGAAAACCGACAAACTAAATAACACAAGCACAAGCGGTTGCATTTAATTTAGGAAAATATTCTACCCGAGTCCAATTATCACTAAGCCGTCAATAATTAACCCAGTTGCTACTGAATATTAGAGTAATTTGTAGCACAACATTATCTAATATAGCAAATAATTATATCAAATAAATAACTAGTAGGCCTCCCTAGCAATTAAATGATACAACTATTCAAATAACTTAGAAGAATATTCAATACCCAAATGCATAAAAATTATATAATAAAAATAAATAAATAATCTTACAGCATAATCAATTCTGGGGCTTCAATTCACTAAACCAAGCTAAAGAAATTAGCAATGAATGGACATTGATAACAGCTTTATAGAATAATCGAGAGGGGAAGAATGAACGTTTTACAATAGAAAAACTTCTACTATTTATATACTTCCTAAATTAACTAAAGCTATTTTGTACCACTCATTTCTATTGTTTCTTCCGCGAATGCCGCTCAGCACCAGAATCGGTCGATGAAGATTTCTGCTTCCGTGTCATACGTTCTGTAGTTAAGAAATTAAAACACAAATCTTTAATTAGCTTTGCTTTCTTGCTAAGAGTTTGGTCCACACTAAATTACTAATGCATAAATTATATTAAATAAAAAGAAAAAGTTTGTTGGACTAAAAAACATTATTAACTAAATATTATTATAAAACACTTATTTAACTAGTTAATTATTAAATTCTAAAAAGATAAAATTATTATATAATAGTAAATAAATAATGCAAAAATATTATAAAGATGTATATAAAATAAGAGTGTAAAATATGGCTATCAGCACGCAAATTGGAATGCAACACGTTGATCGCTGTCCGGTCGTCGAGGGGTTCAACCTCGCCGATCGCTGCCTTCCATTTGACGAGGAAGTCCGTCAAGGACTCGCCTTCTAGTTGCTTGGCCTTTTCAAGGTAAGTGAAGTGTTTCCGGACTTCTTTGGAGGTGGCGAATTTGTGCACGAACTTTTTCGCCAACTCCGCGAAACAGGCGATTGAACCGGGCTCCAATGTTTGGAACCAGTCTGCTGCCCTCCCTGTCAAGGTTGAGTAAAACGCTCGACACATTACTGCGTCGGTTACTCCCATCATCAGCATGTTTCCATAGTAGGAGTTAATGTGTGCTTCCGGGTCGGTTTTTCCATCGTAACCTTTATTCCCCGGTATTCGCAAGTCGTGAGGGTAGGGGAGGCTCATTACATCTGCCGTGAAGGGGTTGCGCAGTAGGGGCGCTTCAGGTTCGGACGACCGGTGGCCATGCTCACGCCTCCATTTACTAAATTCCTCCCGGACTTGCTGCAACAGTCCCTTAGCTTCGTTTCGCGGATCCTCTCGGTCAGCAGCCCGTCGAGCCATTCTCTTAGATCTGCAGCTGCTGACTTCTCCGGACTCTTCTTGTCGGGGCGCTGGGAGGTTTACAGATTCCTCCATATCTTGTCGGGCTCCGATTCGCTGATGCACAGACGGCTGGAGATGAACGAAAGCACTCATGCGCGCGGGGACTTCTTCAGCCCCCCGCTCGTGAGCTGCTCCAGGTCCTAGCCTCGACCGGGCCGGTCGGCGCTCAGATTGGGCCCGGCAGAGCTCTGGTGCCGCTGCTGGCGCTGACGCCACTGACTGGCCTGGCTCGGGCACGTTCGGCGCATTCGGCATTGGCATGGGCATGTAGGGTTGGTAGGCGCCCGGGCCTGGTGGGTACTGGTATTGGGCTCCGAAGAAGCGTTGTGGGCTTTGCCAATATGGGTACACCGGATCAAACATCCCGGGTGCATACATCGGGTATTGGAGTGGCATTTGTCCGGGGATGCCAGGGAATGCTACTCCTGGTTGAATGAAATTAACCGGGTCCGGGGTCATCTCCCTGCCCGGTGGTGTATTGAGGTCCATCCGCGGATTCATCTGTAATCGGAGGTCTGATGAGCTCTCCTCGGCTTCCGCATCGTTATTGAAGTCCATGAATGGAAACATTTTCAGGATCGGTCTGGTGTTTACCGCAACGGCTTTCAGTTCGATCCCCACGGACGGCGCCAAAATGATACTGTTTATACTGAGTGGTATATTTATACGGTCGGAGGCAAGATCGGACCTTCCCGACCCATGTGAGAGATCCGAGCCTTGCTTACGACCGTATAAATATACCACTCAGTATAAACAGTATCAATAACATCGAATATTATATAGTGCAATTGAAGAATTGAGTTGAATCGATTATGTTTTATGATGTTATTACTGCTTTAATTCGAGGAAATAATTACCCAAATAATAGCCAACATGTATATATACGCATCTGGTGCTGAAACTTTAAACAATTTATATATCAATGTTTTGGATTTGAATTACCCGTGTGTTGCAGGGAATTTTTTTTATTATGAATTTAAAATTAAAAATAGAAAAAAATGAAAATATGTGAAAATGTACAATACAATAATATAGTTACTTTAATATATTTGGTCAAGTATCTATTTTCATAACATAAAGAATTTAAATTTAAATTTTGCAACCGAAAGAAATATTTTATTTCTCAATTTCATTAATTATATTAAGTATAATTACCAAATATTGTGGCAATTACTACAATAATTTCATTTATTATATTAATTATAATATGTGTTTTCTTCCAATATTGAAATATATTAAACATAAAAATTACCATAATAAATAATGAAATTGCCAAAATTTTGAAATATATTACCATATTGTCATAATAATTTCACGAAAGAAGGAAATAAAATTTACCAGAATAATTACCATTAATAAAAAGTAGGAAATTATATTAAAAATTAATTATATATTAAGGTAAGTATAATTTATTTTGTGCCAATAATATTATACATTAAGTATAAAAATATATATGTATATAGATTACCATAAAATAACCATAATAAGTACATTGAAAATGGTGAAGAGAATTAAAATAAATAATTATTAAGTAATAATATGAATAATTAATCATTAAGGCAAGTATAATTTATTTTGTACTAATAATATTATACATTAAGTATATATATATATATATATATATATATATATATATATATAATCGCATTCAGGTGCGAATGCTTCGCCCAGGCGCGAAATAGGAATGGATTTTGTCCGTCCACGTGTTCAGATCTAATGGATGAGAAACACTGATTTTTTTAAAAAACGCGGTGGCATTTTCGTAAATAATTGAACATCGAAGTGCAAGTAAAATGTATTACAAGTGCATGTAAAATGTATTATCGGTGCAAGTAAAAATTTACACTGAGCATCAATACTTAGTTGCACCTATAGTTCTAAGTAGTTGCACATATAGTTCTAAGTAGTTACACACATAGTTATAAGTAGTTGCACCTAGGTGTATGAATGTTTGCGAGTGGTTTTTAGGGGTATTACTACCTGCAGAACTCAGATCAATGAATGCTAACAAGGTAAAATTACACGCACTTATAGGTGAAAGTAGGTGCACCTATAGTTATAAGTAGTTGCACCTATAGTTATAAATAGTTGCACATATAGTTATAAGCACACCCAGGTGCATGAATGTTTGCGGAAAGTGAATGCTAACAAGGCAAAATTACATGCACTTATATGTGAAAGTAGGTGCACCTATATTTATAAGTAGGTGCACCTATAGTTATAAATAGTTGCACATATAGTTATAGGCATACCCAGGTGCATGAATGTGTTGCGGAAAGTGAATGCTAACAAGGCAAAATTACATGCACTTATAGGTGAAAGTAGGTGCACTTGTAAGTGATTTTACTTGCACTTCGATGTTCAATTATTTACGAAAATGCCACCGCGTTTTTTTTAAAGTTATTAGATCTGGACACGTGTCGCGCGGTGATTCGTTCGCATTTCCCTCCTGAGCACTTATTCGCACCTGAGTGCATCCCTATATATATATATATATATATATATATATATATATATATATATATATATATATATATACTTTTAATTGTATATTGATAAACATAATCTGTGTATATACTTTAGGAAAATATCATTATTAAAAGGGGGATATAATTTAAAAAGTAAATTATTAATTAGATTGCCTAATATAATTTTTCTACTAATTGATTTCGTGCAACTATAATTCATACATTTGAAGACTTTTTAAAGCTAAATACCTATTAATTGCCTTAATAATTAAGATAATCATTAGTCACACCAATAGTACTAAAAGTATTACTTTGAATTTTTATAAATAAGTTATAATATTGTTAAACTGAAATAGTTAAAAATAATGTGTTCACAGTACAACAGATTTTATAATTGACTTAATAATTAACTATTAATTTTTATTGTCTAATACAAATTGTCAATTATTAAACATTATTTATGGTAACTATGGTATGTCATGTAATACTAAAATTATTAGGTATTATTTTAAAAATTAAAGTATAATATTATTAAATCAAAATTATTTAAAATATATAGATCCATATTAAGAAAAAATCTTGTTAATTTTCGTATATTAAAACTAGATATTTATATTAAAGGTGAAATTACTAATAATTAAGTTTCAATAAATTTAGTTATTCCCGAAATCATATATGGTTTATAATTAATATTTTCTTATATTAGATTATGCTTATATATGGTTTACCTGTATTAATCATCACTATATTAGATTAGTATATAATTCTTTTAATATAATATATTATTAAATCTAAACATATGGTTAATATTTATTTAATATTATTACGGATGTATTACAATTATAAATTTACAATTATAGCTTTGTATATGAAAAACATAGAAACTTGAATAGCTTAAATAAAAATTATTAAAAATAATGTGTCTACAATACAAAATAAATTATACTTACTTTAATAATTAATTATTAAAATAATTGCCAAATATAAATTTATAATTATTTAATAATTATTTATGGTAATTATTTGGCATTAAAAAATGATAAATAAAAAGAAGAAGAAAAACATAAGAGGAAAGCATATATAGATGTCATACCATATCTTACATAAGACAAATTGATATAAAATTTAATAATTACTTTGAAATCAAATACAGGAAATATTTTAGGAAACATTACCATATTACAAATAAAATAAACATACTATTATTTTATTGATTTCTAAAAACATCGCCGGCCAAATCACTCATTTCTTCTGGTCCGCGGTGGCGACGTCCTCTTCAAAGGCGAAAACGCGATAGGAGCAACAGAGTCCTACCGACTTTCGGATTAGGGATAGAAATATGGGTGAGCGTGACCCTCAAGATGAGCTCCTTACTCTTGACGCCTGTGAGGTGCTTCAACCGACGGTCCTCCACGAAAGTGGTGACTTTGTGCATATTACATGTCAATTATAAAGTTGCAATATGAAGTTTTAAGGGGCGGTGGAAGAAGGGAATGAGAGAGTCACTTGCAAGGGAAATAAAGGATGCAATGTAAATTGAAGACTTTTAATTTTTTTAGTCATAAACTCATTGTATTTATAGCTGAAAAATATGAGAATTATAAATTTGTAAGATTTTCCAAAAGGAAAGTTTATTTATTTAGTTAAGGTATTGCTCTAATCAATTCATTATATTAATATTCCTAATTAATTCATTATATTGATATTATTAAATTGTCCTTTAAGTTTGAGTGCGAAAATAAAATAGGAGGATTTTACTCTCTCTCTCTCTATATATATATATATATATATATATATATATATATATATATATATATATATATATATATATATATATATATATATATATATATATATATTTAGGGATGCACTCAGGTGCGAATAAGTGCCCAGGAGGGAATATGCGAACGAATCCGCGCGTGACACGTGTCCAGATCTAATAGATTAAAAAAACACGGTGGTATTTTCGTAAATAATTAAACATCGAAGTGCAAGTAAAATCACTTACAAGAGCACCTACTTTCACCTATAAGTGCATGTAACTTTGCGTTGTTAACATTCACTTCCCGCAAACATTCATGCACCTGGGTGCACCTACTTATAACTATGGGTGCAACTATTTATAACTATAGGTGCAACTACTTATAACTATAGGTGCACCTACTTTCACCTATAAGTGCATGTAATTTTGCCTTGTTAACATTCATTGATCTGAGTTTAGCGAGTAGTAATACCCCTGAAAACCACCCGCAAACATTCATGCACCTAGGTGCAACTACTTATAACTATTTGTGCAACTACTTAGAACTATAGGTGCAACTACTTATAACTATAGGTGTACTTAGTATTGATGCTCAGTGTAAATTTTTACTTGCACCTATAATACATTTTACATGCACTTGTAATACATTTTACTTGTACTTCGATGTTCAATTATTTACGAAAATGTCACCGCTTTTTTTAAAAATCAGTGTTTCTCATCCATTAGATTTGGACACGTGGACGGACAGAATCCATTCCTATTTCGCGCCTTGGCGAAGCATTCACATGTTTGTGATATATATATATATATATATATATATATATATATATATATATATATATATATATATATATTTATTTATTTATTTATTTATTTATTTATTTATTTATTTCTATGCATTGTAAACGAGTCTCAATCAGTCTTGAATTATTAACAAGCAATACATGCATGTTAGGCTAATCAATTTTACCATCTTTTTGTGCATGTTAGGCTCTTGAATTATTAACAAGCAATTCATGCATGTTAGGCTATTCAATTTTACCATCTTTTTTGTGCATATTGAGCTTCATTATGATGACAGCTTTGCATGCCTGCACTCTTCCCAAAATTAGTTGATATACACATTAGGAAATTAGGACATAAATTATTATGATCTATCGTTCAATAAATTGTTGGACAAAAGCGTTTTTCCATTTTGATTACGTTACTTCAAATACTTAAAGCTTTAATCTCAAGCTTTTGATTCGGTGATTTATTTAATTCATTTTCAAAAGTCAGTTCAGTCGATTACAATCACCTGAAAATCTTGTTAAAATTATTCTTTACCT